TTTCAGTAAAAAAGTTATATAAAAATAATTAGGTAATGGCATATTTATGCAACTTAACAAAATTGTTGGCAACAAAGTAAAAAGAACAACTGTGTAATGCCATTCTATGACTGTAATAAACTTAACTAATTACGCACAACTAATGTCAATTATATACATTTAGGTTTAACAGACAATTCAAATTTCCTCTCTCCCATTAAACTGAGACTTATCATAGCATGTAACATATGCTGCTGCCGTGAAAAGAAACAAGGCCAGTGGAGCAAGTCAGCTGTCCCTGCAGATCAGCTAAAATTGGATAGAAACATGGGCAGTATTAATGATACAATTGAGGACCACAATTTCTTTTGTATAAGGAGGTATATTTGGAATTTTGGCAGTAAGTTATAGATGCATTGTGAAATTGTTGCCTTGGTGAGCATAATTCTTCAGCACCAATGATGACACCCATGGGCAATCACCAGGCTAAACGCCCATTATATCTTTACAAATATTTTCATTTAAAAAGAAATGAATGGGAAGGTAGTAATCCTGCAAAGCAAATCACAGTTTCCGTGCATAATAGATTTTCCAAGGTGGTTTGAGGGTCCCCAAAAGAGTTGGTGCAAGTACAAAAAATAAATTAGTGGGTGATTATACCCTGGGGCCTACTAGTCCAGAAAAAAATTGGTAACCCGCACCATAGTAGAAAATATTGTGAAATTGCCCAAAGCTAGTTTTCAATACTCCCAATATCTCCTCAGTCCAAAAAGACTTGGGGGCTCCTGATAAAGCAGTCAGAAAATTTCTATTTATTAAAAAAAAAAAAAAAAAAACCGAACTGGTGACATTGCTCACCTCCAATCTTTCTAACCCTCCAGGACTTTTTCTGTCACTCAACAGATTACCTTTTCTTTTTCGGTGTAAGTGGACATTTTTCCAAACAAAGCATTGGTTGCAGCCATCCATCATTTTTATTTCCTTATAATAGCTCTGGAGCCTACCTGGATCCCAGAGGCTTTCTTGGAAAGCAAGGTTTTGTTAGGGGGCGGGTCTTTTGCTTTGCAGTATGCTTTTTTTGAAATTAAAAATCCACCCCAAATTCTCCTTTATAGACACTCCTGTAGTTTCAAAAACTCCACGTTATGACTTCCTTGCATGAAACCCTTGCCATTTTGTATGAGAGGTCTTGGCCAGAGACCTTGATCACATCAGGGATAGAGAACTGCTCCATTTCTTTGCTAGGCTAGGATATCACGAGCAATGGCTATATAAAGCCTGCGATGGGGATTTACATTAGAAGCTCTTTTCCATTCGCCTGTTTTGAAGCAGATATGCCAAAGATGCCTGGGGCCATATGAGATCTTTACCAATGGCTGGTTCCCAAGCATTACATTATCTGAGTCACAGCATAATTGTAGATTCAAAATGCAAACATCATCCAAAAGGGCAGTTAAAGCTTCCTCAGCAGGGACACCTTAGGTGACCGAGACCATCAGCAGCCTTTGTTGCTTCATTCTTCTTTAATGATACGACCAGCATTCCTACCAGACTCTACTATCCAACCCTGGACCGAATGGATTGGCAACTACATAATGGCCACCATGGGCTCCTTCTTCACAGACTGAATTTTAAAGAGGAACTCCCTGCAGGCATCTTGCCAAGGAAGCTATATGCAGATACTGTATTTATTTAAAGAACAAGGAAATAGGATACAGTAGATTGACCAAAATGGCAGGAGATTCTTCACAGTGGAGAATTATCATATATATTAGTGCACGCTTCTAGAAATGCTTAAGAGGAATGGTTTGTTCAAGTTTTGAAACACTTGTTCCTCAACACACACACACACACACACACACACACACACACACACAAAACACAAAATGTGGAAAATGAAAATTACTTAGGTTTAGGTTTAGGTTTCGTTTTATTTATATGCTGCCCTATTCCCAGCGGGATTCAGGGCGGCACACAAACCCAAGGGGGGAAAGGGAAACACAAAAACTACAAATACAAGCATTTAAAAATAAACACCTTCCTTCTTCTTAGTAACTAGAAGCTTCTTTGTGCTGTGCTGTCAGCCCCTGTCTCTCAAATGATGTGGGAGGGAGAGGAGGGGGTCATACTAATTTTCCAGAGAAAATGCTACCGTTGCATAGTGTTGTCCTAGGAAGCCCCTTGAAAGGCGCATCCTTAACTAGGTACACTCACGGTAAAGCTGCCTTCTGGTCATCACCATGGTGACAAGAAACTTTTGAGTGATCCAAATTGGGACTTTATTTTCAGCCTTAATTTTCAGCCTTAAAAAAAAGGGAAACGATAGGAAGGGCCCGGCTTTTATTCCCTGGAATTTAGGTTATTCTGGAATGAAGGCTTTATTATTATGTCCTGCAAGCCTTTCAAACAAGTGAGATGATTTTCAGCGAAGCACTAAGGACGGTCACCTAGTCAATTTATTTTCAACTCCCAGTCAATTTGTTCAGTATCATCAGCAACGGTTTCAAATAGGCAATTCCAGCGTTACCGGCAAGTGCTTGTCAGCTATTTTGGCTCCTTTAGAAGAGAGGCCCACCTCTGAAAGGACACTTAGGTGGACTGGACTCTGTGACCTCGCAAAATAAAAGAGCTTGCTGTAACAACAACAGCCCTAGCATTACATGGTACTTCAGATCCATGTCATTCGTTCTTCCAAATTAATTCTAGAAGAACAACTTCCGAAAGAATAAATGTCAACAGAAAAAAAATACGCCAAACAGCTATTAGCATGCAGTCTTGCTTCTAAAACACAAGGGTGGCCTTAAGGGGCAATTTAAAAAAAAAATCAGAAAGATGTAAACACTGTCCTTTATAGTGGCTCACATCCACGAGCCATGACAAAAGGGATGCCATCTTGACCATTTTTTTCCAAAATACTTTTTTTATTTTCCATTTTCATAACATATAATCACGTGTATACTATTACATAGCCAATATCGTATTGTATTAAGTAGTAATTGCATCAGTTCCTCTTGCCATCAACTCCCAGAAAGATAAAAACCCATTATTAGCTCTTCTGCTCTCCATACACCTCTTTCTTCTGTCTCTCTCCTCCCCCTCCTTACCTCCTTTCTTCCCTCCATCATCCTTTTCTACTCTACTTCCCCTTCCTTTCTCCTTCTCCTCTCTCCTCATCCCACTCCTCCTTATTCTCCTCATCTTACCCCCTTACCCTCTCTCCTATCCCTCTCTTCCTACCTTTCTTCTCTCCTCTGCTTCCCACTCTTCCTCTCATTCACTTGGTATATTACAGCTTCTGAGCAAACTCCATTCTATGTTGATGGTATTTATGCTTCCATATCAATATACTTAACATATCTTAGTTTTAAAGAAAAAATAAGAGAAGACAGTATACATGTGCAATCATATTACTTTAAAATCTAACACCCCTCATCAAGCCTAATATCTCCCCCCTAATCCCTCCCCCCTCCCCCAACCCCCCCCCACCTTCCCTCCCCCGACTTCCCAGAACCCATACACGGTATAAATCTTTAACAAAAACAGTCTAAAATATATTTGAAAAAAGAATAGAAAATTGATAACATCTTTAAATTGAACTTAGCTCCTCCTTGCTAGGCTAACTTTAAACAATTTATATCATTCCTGATCTTAATCATAAGCTATCTGGAATTTTGTGGCTGGTCACGCCCCCAAACCGGATCTATTGGCAGTAGCATAGGTGCCACCATCTTGTTTTTAACTACGGCGCATGCGCACATAGCAGGCATCAAGTGCGCATGCGCGTCCCTGAGCAAACCAGAACCCACCCCTGCCTCTTTCCATGGTGGTAGTGATTTTGCTATTATTAAGAAGCATTATCCATGACTAAGAAATCAAGGGTGTTTTCGACTGGGATGTTTCTAGCTCTGTGAAACTGCACTTTTCCTATCTAACATTCTAGTATGTCCACTTTGTTTCATCTTGGAATTTCTTTTCAGAGCAGAGGATAATAGTGTTGCCAAGGATTGTCAGAAAAAAAGTTAATATTGCCATAATTATGTCATCAACTCCCTCTCCGAATAGGTGTGTGGTAATATGTGAATGTAAATAAGGGGGCTTTGATTCCATGGGTCGTAGATGCCATCTTGAAAAAATTTTCTACCCTACTCAGGACTCCTGGTGCTGCCTTTAGAAAATAAGGCTTGTCAATATCAGTTAATTATATTAAATTTAGGGATACATAGGTGACGGGGAATAGTTATGGAACAGTTTTAAATATGAACCAAAAAAAAACACCCCACAACCCTTGGGGATATTATGATTGGTGGAACTGTATAGTGTTTACTTTTTTTAAAAAAACTTGAAAATAAATAATGCACCTTGAAAATTAGAAGAGATTATTTTAAAAAGGAAATAGAAACTCTAGAATTTATTTCTTTCAAGTAGAGGGGCTGTAGGAACTGCCCCTCTACTTGAAAGAGTGGGAATTTAGGATTTGAGCAGTTAGCCACTTTCCAGGTGGGCTGGTCTCCATCAGTTCCATACAGAACGATTTCTGGAACATGGGAGTGGCAGCCCAATGCATCTGAAGGACATCTGAAAGATTACCTTTGATCCTCACATATTCCCCATGACTTTACTGAAAAAGGAGATTCCGCTTCACCCAAAGTAAATGTATGTTTCTTTGCCAGAAGGTCCTTAAGTCATTGCTGTGAAGTGAGCAGCAGGCCATGCCAATGTCCATATGATGGTACATACGTCATGACACCATTGTACAACTGATGCTATTGCAATGTAATGCCGTACCCTCTGATGCGGCTATGGAAATCAGGTCATTTGTATCCCCTATTATTCTGTTTATTCCCATGTGTGGCATGACTGATTTAGAGATTCCCTAGTAGAAGTGATAATATTGATAGCCAGAGGGCTCCTCATAAAAACTCAGATCTGGAAGAGAAAGAACTTGTCCTAATGCAACTGATGATCCACTACCACCTTCTTTTTCGTCTTCTTTCTTTCTTTTTCTCTCTCTCCTCCTGCAGGCATTGGGCTTTCATTCTCAAAAGCAGCAGCTGGAGCAACAAGCAAGGATGTTTCCATTAAAGCTCCCCTGAGACTGCCCTCTCCTGAGAAGAGGGGTACAATTGATCCCTACCGTTGAATCATAGGTGCTCTGTTTCCTCCATGCCCACTTGCACTTTTGCACTCTATGGGCTCAGCTGCCCACAACAAATGAGAAACCATCTAAGGCCTTTGGGTCGACTGGATTATCCTAGTGGTTCAGGGAGGCCTTTGCTGCCTTTTTGGAGCAACGCAATGATATTCTTGGCTACCTTATGGATTTTGCTGGTTTATCCTGTCACGTGTTTTGCCAATAGTCAGAATCCAAACTATAATGTGGCAACCAAGAAGGAAATCAGCTTGGAAGGAGACTTCGTTATTGGAGGCCTGTTCCCAGTTCATGAGAAAGGTGGTCCTGCAGAGGATTGTGGCAAAATCAATGAACACCGTGGCATCCAGCGTCTTGAGGCTATGCTGTTTGCCCTAGATGAGATCAACAAGAACCACCATATTCTACCAGGCATTACCCTAGGGGCACACATCCTGGATACCTGCTCCAAAGACACCTATGCCCTGGAGCAGTCGCTGGATTTTGTTCGTGCCTCCCTTACCAGAGTGGATGGCTCTGAGCACATCTGCCCTGATGGGTCCTATGCCATCCATGACGATGTACCTACAGCCATCACAGGTGTCATTGGGGGTTCCTACAGTGATGTCTCAATCCAGGTACAAGGGACAAAAGAGAGAGAAAGAGGAGTTTGTGGGGTTGTTGGTGCCTAGAACCAAGAGACCTTATGTTTGGAACCTTGGGATAAGGTGCTGAGCTATGTAAAAGAAGGGAATTGGGCTTGCAGAATTGGGCATTGGGTAAAGGTCTTGGAAGATTTATGTTGATTTTATGGACATGGAAAAACAGGGAGAAAACATTAACACGTTTGGAGGAAACATCTTTACTCTGAAATTAGTTTTGGCCTGTACATCATGCAGATAGTAGAAAATCTATGGTTCCCTAATGTTACTCTACTGCAAAATTTTAGCCCTTCCATTCCAGCCAATTTGGTCAACACTGAGGAATGTTGGACATTTGTTACAGCAACATCTAAAGAGCCACAATTTGCCCATCTCCGGTTTATGGGTTGTTGTAAGGATTGCTGAGACATAATAGGTGAACAGCTGTGACAGTTCCAATTATTTTATTTCCTGACTGTAATTCATAATCAGTACTTGGGAAATAAAACTTTCAACGTATCACATGTAATGGGACTGAAACAGATACCATTCACCCATCCCTTTTCATTTATTAGGGACTGGACAAATTTTAAACTCCTTTTCCTTAAAAACTAAGAATGCATTATTATGAATTTATTTTCAGACCAAAAATAAGTACAGTAAAATTTTAAGGTTGATATTACTTTTTAAAAGAATATTGCATTGCCTTATACACCGATCAAATAAACTCGATTCAATACAATACAATACAATAGCAGAGTTGGAAGGGACCTTGGAGGTCTTCTAGTCCAACCCCCTGCCTAGGCAGGAAACCCTATACCATTTCATTCTTTCATTCTGAGGGAAGGGGGGAGGAGAAATGGAATAGAACCCTTACCTGGAGTAGAATTTTAATGTCATGTGTTTGTAACATGAGTGACAGACAGGATAAGAACACAACAGACAAACAAACAAGGTAAGAACCTACAGGTTACATTGTGGGAGAAGAGAAATTGGTCATGAGGAAAAATGGTATAAAGCTTTGGGGATTTCAGTTGAGGCTTTTTAGCAGTTTTTGTATGTCCTGTACTGCCCGCAGTGGAGGGAATGTATAGTCATGTTAATTCCAATACCTGTTCAGGAACATGGAGACCGTCTTGAGGGCCAGCCCCTTCTTTTAGGCTCATCCCTGTCCACAAAAGTGCTCTCTGATTCAAAGCTTGTTAATGCAAAGGCCATATCCCATAGCTTTCATATGACAGAGTAATTAGCTGCTGCTGTTGAAAAATCCCTATTAATGCTACAATTAATGCAAATTAATATATCATTATCGTGTACAGAGCCACTGCCAAAAGACAGAAACAGAATATTGAGTGTCATTATCTCATTTACCGAGGGAGGAAGTGCTGTTTGCCAGGGCTTTGCTCTTAGATTTCTGACCTACTTCCCCAAAACAGGACATAAGGAAGACCGATTCCTTCAAATCAAGCCTGTAGCATTCCAAGGTGGACTTTTATTCAGCACAACCTCTGGCTGAGAAGAGCTTGTTGAAGCTGCACTAGCACTAAAGAACTCTCACCATTAAGCTTCAAGGCTTCTTGCTATGTTTGCCTCAGTCTCAGATTTGGCCTCAATTCCAGTTGCCCAGAAACCACAAGATTCCTTTAGAGATACCTGGATCCACTGCCATTTGTCACTTAATTTCACCAAATTGTCTGGAGACATTCCAGCCAAACCTCCTTTGTTGCCTAGTCTAATCACCCTGCAACTCTAGAGACTGTGAATATTGTTGCCATTGTGGAAACTTGGGGGATGAAACCCATGAATGGAAGATACAGCTAAAGGCAAAGGTGGGATTGAAAAATGTAAGCAACCGGTTCTCTGCCCAGGTAGGTGTGGCTCTGGTGGGCATGGTCGACTCATCCCCCTGCACCACAGTGGGGAGGGGGGTGTTTCACCCTCCTCAGGCTCTGGAGGCTTTCCTTGAACTTCCAGGAGGGCAAAAATGGCCTCCCTCAGGCTCCAGAGGCCGGAAACAGGCCTATTTTTGGAATTCTGGAAGACCCATTTTTCCCTCCCGGAGCCTCTGTGCAGGCCCTACACTTACCTGGCATGATGAATGGGCCACGTGGAGACTCCTGGGAGGGGAGGGGTGGGCAAGGCCAGTCAGACCTTGCAACAACTGGTTCGGCAAACCGGATGCAAAATAACATCCGGTTTGCCCGAACCAGTGCGAACTGGCTGAATCCGAACTCTCAACAGGATTTAAATAGTTTAAATGAAACAGACCTAATAAAAGAGGAGATGGAGTTGTGTTATGTATAAGAAATAACTATATCTCTACAGAAATAGAACAATGATGAAAAACATCTTGAATGCATTTGGGTCAATATAAAATGAAAAAAAAGAATGACATTGCCATAGGGGTATACTACAGGCCACCCAACCAAAACAGAAGAAATAGATGAACGTTTTGCTAGTCAGTTAACTAATGTATGCAGGACGCATAGCACAATAGTAATGGGAGACTTTAACTGCCATCAACTGGGAGACAAACTCTGCACCAAGTAGAAGATCAAATGGATTCATGACAAACCCAGCAGACAACTTTGTCTCCCAAAAAGGTAGAGAAGGGAACTAGAGGGTCAGCCCTACTGGACTTAATTCTCACTAACAGAGACGAAATGACAGAAAGTGTTGAAGCTACAAGAACCTTGAGGGGGAGTGATCATGCAATATTGTAATGCAACATTATGCAATAGAACAAAGTCAAACTAAAGTCTTGGATTTCAAGAGAGGTGATTTCTGTTCTGTTAGAATCAGCTTTTGATGCCTGAAACTTAAAAGAACCAGGAGGAAATTGTAGCCGGAAGGTTATATTAAGGGGAGCAACCAAGTGAGCCCAAAACAAATTCTTATGCTGTTTTTTAATAGACATTTACACGTTGGCTTTCCTCATAGGCATATCTCATATACGCAGCAGGAGATCCTGCTGGCAGAACAACACAGACATACTGTAGTTGGGATAGGTCGCTGAAATGCAGAATTGGGTTGGACTCTTGAAATCAAAATTTGGACAGCACCATCCTGGCTCATACCTGCCCCAGCTCTGTTCTTATTTAGAAAGAATCACACATGACTGCTCAACCATTTCCTATTCCTTCAAACTGGGAAAAGCAGAAGATGCCAACGCAACTCTAGGTACGCCTCCTCTCTTGGGGCTCCATTCTCCATCCTGCCATTTGACACTCTACAGCCTTTATATTCTACTCTGACATGTAAATGAAATTCCAAGACAAGAAAAAAAAATAGTCCTCTCTTCAAAGGCATCTGGTAATTTATGTTTATATCATTTAAAAAGAAAAGAAAGCCATGTGATTGGAAAACAAGGAAGTATAGAGACTCCTAGCTTTCTTCTCTTGTCTGCCTCTTCATTCTCCAGGACCAGACATTCATGCAAGCTACTAAACATAAGAGCCTACTCTATTCCATATCTATGGTATGAATAAGAGCTTGCTCATGCTTGAGCCGTGAGATGGGTGGCATATAAATGTAATAAATAAAAAAATAAAATGCAGAATGAAATATTAATAGAAGGCTATGTTACTTTTTGAAAGGCCCCCTACTTCACAAAACTTCCATGGGTACTTTATGTCCCTTAAGCCAGTGTTTCCCAAACTTGGCAACTTTAAGACTTGTGGACTTCAACTCCCAGAGTTCTCCAGCCAGAAGAGCTAGCTGGGGAATTCTGGGAGTTGAAGTCCACAAGTCTTAAAGTTGCCAAGTTTGGGAAACACTGCCTTAAGCCCTCCCAGGAGCTGACAGAGGTTCCCTATTTATCACAAGATAGGCACATTCTCAGAGAATAGATGACAGTCAATACTTTTCCAACATCTGAATCAGGGTGAGGCATCTTCTTCCCTTGATGACCTCAAAGAATGTGTGGCCCCAGCTCACAGAAGTTGAAGTGGTACATTTCAAAGGACGTTGCTTGCCTAGCTCAACTCTGCTGTTCTCAGCATCTGTTGAACCTCCTACTTCTGGGGAGTTTTGAAACTGCTGCCATTTATAAAGAGGGGCAAATATTGTTCCTGATAGCTTCCTCTTAAATGCCCTAAATGTTTCCATGGAGATTCTCAGTCATCCAGGTCGTGGTTGTCCCAAAGGTACTTTTTCAAGAGGAAACGGGACTTTCTGGATTTGAAGAAGCAAAACATCTTCAAAGAAAAATCAGAAAGTCCAGTTGCCTCTTGAAAAAGCACCTTTGGGACAACCTAGCTATGTCCGTTTCTTCTCTGCACAAAAGAGCAAATATTGCTGACTAACACCAGCTTGTTTTGGATAAGGAGGCCACAGAAGAAATGCATGGGATGGTCTATCTCATGTACACCCATCCCTCAGAGCTTTAACAATGTGCATCAGTAGATAAAGAATGTAAGACAGAATCCAGAATACAAAGCAAAACGCAAGAGATGGCCATTTTTGTGAAGAAATCTTCTGCTAAACTCAACAAACCAAAAGTTGGATAAACAAAGAAGGGCAAGTAGGGATACAGAGTGGAAGAGCTATAGATGGCAAGATAATTAGTGAGCTTATTAAAAGAGTAAGCAGATCGATTAGCTAAAGTGGCTATTCCTCTCCACAGAGCTGTGTGGTAGCAACACAAAAGATATTTATTAATAACTCTGGGTTCTTCTTACTAGTGGATCTCCCCTGTGTTTTGTGCCCCCTCCAGGCTGGAAAGAACCTGAGGGCTTTCTCTTTCCAGTTCTCTCCATTCATTCCCCTGGGATTGGCACAAAAAGCAACACATCTGAATAAGCTAAGACACTTTTTGTCCAAAGCAGGCAGTGAATTTCCCCACATCTCTATTATGTCTTCTTCTAAGATGTTTCTGCAAAAGCTCTTTAAAAGAAAAAAAAAAGTTCAACAACTGGCAGGTTTTTGTGAAACTGTTTGTATAAGAGCCATGGTGGTGCAGTGGTTGGAGTGCAGTACTGCAGGCTACTTCTGCTGAC